CTACGTCCATCAAGACTGCAGTCGACTCGCTCGACTGGACGTCAGTCTACGTAGCCTTCGTCCGACTCACTAAGCTCGACAGTTCGACCTCGCTCGACTAGGCTCAGGCTAGTGCCTTCGCCATCAAGCTCGATGTTGACCTCGCTCGACTAGGGCTCAGGCTAAGTGCCTTCGCCATGAAAGCTCGACAGTTTGACCTCGCTCGAACTGGGACTCAGGCTAAGTGCCTTCGCCATGAAAGTCTGACAGTTCAACCTCGATCGAACTGGGATTCAGGCTGCAACTGAATACCCTCAAGGAGCGACAGGTTCGACCTCGCTCAAACCAAGACGAGTTATCCTCTCGAAAGGTTCATAATGAAACCCACGACCAGAAACTTTTATCACATAAGGGGAATCAGGGACTCATCCGACGAGCCCCCCACCCCGCGAATAGATCGTATGTCACCAGATAATTGATATATAAAGCAAGAAGCGGAAAAGAATTCTTTATTCTTGAAGTCAGAAATGCGGGCTATTGCCGCTTACATCCGATCCAGGCCAGCCAACTAAAAAAAAGGGGGGGGGGGGGGAAGAGACAACGAAATACAATTTTCTCTTACTCGGCGTCAACGCCGTCGTTATCATCATCACCACTGGCATCCCCATCAGCTTCGGGTGTCACCATATCATATCCACAGTTGGCTCGAGCCTCACGAGCCTTCTGCCGCGCCTCCTCGAAAGCTGCCTCAGTCACGGTGCCCGCCTCCCACAAGTTCTTGAATATACCACGTGGAGCTTCAGCATAAACCTAGAGTTCATGAGCTTGGCGGGGAACAACGGCACGGGATGATCCAGCATGGGCCCTCAACCGCTGATTCTCCTCCTCCAAGGTCGCAACCCGATTTGACAAGACTAAGGCCTCCAGGTCAACTGCGCCAATCCGCTCCTCGAGCCTCGCCTCCCTAAGGGCCGCAGTAGCTCTCTCCGACTCTCGCTCGGACTCATGTACACTAATCGCCGCCTCCAAGGCCGCTGCCCACGTCGAAGCATCCAACGCTGCTCTCTCCATACGCTTCAAGTCGGCAACCTTGCTTTCCAGCGTAGTCAACTTCCCGCTCCATTCGGCATTCATCTCGCTGCTCTGGCCTGGCTCTGCTCCATTTCCAACTGCATTGCTCGTAACTTGCCCTGCAGGTGCTTGCATTCCGCAGCAACCCCTTTGCCCACCTTGAGCTCCTCGTCCTTGAGGCGGATTTGCTCTTCGAGCTCGCTCTTGCTGTGGAGCACCTGCATTAGCTCCTGGTCCCTCTTCTCCAACTCCTCGCCCAAAGTCCGGTTGCGGGGATCAGTCCTTAACCGTTCGTGCAACTCATGGAACCTATCGCGATAGCGATGGTATTTTTCCAGCATCTGCAAGAAGATCCTCGACCGGACATTGTCCCTGCAAATGTTTTCTACCTCCAACATGTACGACTGCAAAACAAGAAAGCAGTTAAATTAATGCTCATTCTGCGACAAAGGAGAAACAAATTGAAGTCAGACATAACATACCCGTAAGCCCATCACAGCTACTTCGTCCATCACTTCGACATCTGAAACATTCCTCGAGGACTCGTTCTCGGCCTCCGAACACAACAAGCTGAATTGTGGTACCAAGTTGCCTCCT